AAACAGAGAAAATTTCGCAGATTCACAAAATTTAAAGGAAAAAATAACAGAGCACTCGTAGCTGTATAAAAATGGCGGATAACACGCAAAACTCCGATCTTACGCCACAAAAATTCTATCCAAATTCACAAATTCTGTTGTAATTTGCTCGAAACAATTACCTGTACGTATCCACAACGGCAGCAATTTGCAGAAGAACTTTTAGATGAACATCAACAATCACTGAACTCTGTACAAATTTTCAGATTTACAGAATACAGAGCACTCTGAGCTCGATAAAAAAAAAATTCGAACAAAAAAAAAATAAAACTCGTGATCTCTCAGATTTCTGAACAATAATTCGAGATTTTGTTTGTTCTTTTACAAATGCAAAATTACAATAAATTTTGAATTTCAAATTTCATGTGTAAGAAATTCACCATGAAAAGTGTGAGAAATGGAGGAGGAGTTTATATATAGTTAGGGAAATTCGGCCCTTATTCAGCTTTTTTGGTAGTTTGCATAATATTAGTGTTGTAGCACGTGTAAAATTCTTGAATTTTTTTTCCTTTAATTATTTATTTAACTATTTAAATTATTATTCTGTTCCTAGAGTGGACGATAAAAAAAATATCCTTAAAAAGTATTTGAATTTTTTGAATTTCATATTTAAAATATTTTGATATTTTTAGTTTCATATTTAATGAATATTGCACCTGACACGATCAATTCAATTCACAATTCGAGCTAATTATAACTATTTATCTAAATATAACTCAACTATTAATTATTCCTATTTTTTTACACCTACACTATAGTGGTACTTCAAGTAGAAAATTAATATATTATAATTTTTGAATTCAAACTATGAAATACTCACAAAGTTTAATTTGATATCCTAACTCTAATCATAGTGTATTTGATAGGAGGTAGTTGCGTATCCATCATAATTACAATTTATAATCAAATTGTTTTGCTAATGAATTTATTGGGCATTGTCCTTGTCGACAATTTTCTTTCTACGAATCTATCGAATATCGTCTAATAATAATTATTCATAATGATTTGATACATATCTTAAGAAATAATAGATATATAGAATAACTTTTGAATTTTTAAACTGAACAATTATTATTGGATAACTACTTTTAATGTAATAGACAAGTAAAGATGAATTTTTATAAAAGAATTTTATAAAAAGGGACCACATAACATTTCATGCCATGAAGTAATTATAATAGCCATATATTCAAAAATTCGAGTTAATTAAGAAATAATATCAAATGTGTGAGAAAATTGACCTTAATTATTAATTATAATTAATCTTTAGTCGTGTCCTAGTAGTTAAATAAGTAGTTGTAAACTTTACGAAAATTTTATTTTCTTTTTAATTATTCTAGCACGCAATTATGTGATTTTTTTTTAATTTTTTCTTCTAAAACATTATGCTAGCTGTTTCATTAGCAGCCATTTTATTTTAATACGTTAGAAATGATTTTGATGTTTCGCGGTTTATCCTTTTATTTTCTTTTAAAAAAAATCTTTATAGAATTATATTATTATCTAATTAAAAGTAGTAATTTCAACTAGCTTAGATTTCCGCTGAAAAATAAGACAGCAAAAAGCTTGATTTTATGCCTAAAAAAGAGTCAAATATTCATGTCAAATCATTCACTCCATAGTGATATTTTGAAGAAGTGAATATTATAATACGATCATGATTCAAAATTCGAAAATGACCTTGAATTAAGAATGAATAAGTGCTTACCTATAGTTTCCAACATTGTTCTCAGATTTACTTTTTATTCTTTCCATTTAGGCGTGTTTGGTAGAGGGAAATTTCATTCTGTTTTTATTATGCATGTGTCTAGTGAATCTCTAACAAAACTGATTGATAACTCAATGATAAAGAAGAGAAAGAAAATAAAGAACCCCCAAACTCATAATGTTGGTTCCATCTCTGCCCCCGACACCCTCGGCTCCTACACAGTGTCACCCTTTGGCTATTCCACCCTCAACTACACCCAATTCCCATTTCTACCCTATTTTCGCATCATAGTGTTTTATTAAATTACATATAATTATTGTTGAAATAATATATATATATATATATATATATATAAAAGCTTTTGGACATCACATGTGATGTATTGGAAGTTCAATACAACAATAATTAATATTGCTTATATCATATGATGACATTATGTTAGTATACTAGCTAGTAGGGTATCACTTACCCCCACAAAACATACGTTTGGTCTTATTCAGTAATTATGTGACGATGGATAAAGACGCCTTTTTATTCTTTCTTTTTTGATATTTATATTAAAATTTTTGATTAATTAATTTATAGCAGAAAATTATATTTTAAAGGTAAACTAAGCTCCACATCAGACACTACTCACTATTAAATCTTGAATTTCCGGCCTCTAATTAGGTGATACGTGTCATCAAGAATTACATGAATTCTTGTTGTTAAATTTCTAAATGAATCAACGTTTGGATCACAATATGAACCTAGCTAGAATAAATATGCGGGGTTGGTTTCAGAGAGTATTTCACCAACCAAAATTCTGATTAGGAGAGTTATCTTTGTGTCATACCTAGTTAGTTACTGTATCAAATCAATAAATTCATGGTGCATGTTTGCATATTAACTTTTAGCACTTAATCGTTATAAATTAACCTAAATTCTCAACTTGTAAATATTATTTAACAATATTTAAAAAGTAAAAAAACTTATCCAATCACAATCAAAATGTCGATAGAATGATGCAAAGTTTATCTAATGATAATGACAAAAAAAAATAAAAATGACACCAACAATATTTCACCCAAATATTAGTATTATTTGGCTATGGGTCCTAGTCTACTTTGTGGTACATTATGACAATGACTAGAGGGGTATTATAATTTAATACTCGATTTCCATCAATACTATCATGGATTTTGGAATCTAAAATTACCATCTATGTGGGACTTCCTTTTAGCTTTGGAATCTAGGCTTACTTCCAAAATTCTTTCTCCTATCAACTTTAAAGGATAATTTAAATATTATGATGAAAAGATGAAATTTTAACCCAAGAAAAAAGATAAAAATTCATATAATTCACATGAGAGTAAGGAAGACTAATGTTATCATTACTAACAAAAGTTGTAATTACCCTTTAATGATGTGTTTGATATTGAGCATATTTATGCATGTTTCGATACGATTTTATTCATATTTTGTATTTTATATTTGCATAGGTGGTCTTACTAAGCTAAACTGTTGAGTTCTACATTGATTTCAGTGTTAATGGATGATATAAATATAATGGAGATAGAAATTTGAGGCAAAACACGAGTAATTCTACCAAAAAAAATATACAAGTTGGAAGTTGGCGCTTAAGATGTGTACCTCCTCATAAATGTTTACTTTTTAAATAGATCTTCGCCAATTATTCTTTTTAAAACATCTTTCTTCTCTTCCCATCGTTCTTGAATGGTCTATTTTTCCGATTTTTTTATATACATCGAATATATTTTACTATTTATGTAATAACACTTTTTTGGACTGACTAACTTTTAAAAAAGGGTCAAATTTTAAATCGTAGCTTAAAAATGGGGCATTCGGCTAAATTTAGCTCAACTTTCTTCATTACGGCCCAGTAAAACAGCCCAAATATAAATACTGAAGATTTCCAATTACAAAGGAGGAAAACGATTGGAGAATGACGAGTACGGTGGATGCTGCAGGGAATCCAAATCCCGACGTCGACGGTGTTGATGCCGGAGCGAAAATACGGCGTTTCTCCGGTGCAATAATTTGGATCTAAATCCGGAAAAATGCATCGTCAAAGGCCGTGAAGTCGATCGCTGTGTGCCTGTAAGTTGAAAATTTGCACATTAACTTGAAAATCTACTCGATTTTGTAGCAGTTTAGTTATAGTTAGCTCCCGTTGGATAATAGATTTGGAAGTTGTAATTTGAAAATTTGAGTTTTTGAAGTTGTGTCTGGACCTGCATTTTGTGTGTGGAAGTGAAAGTTTGTCTATAAACAGAAGATATTTGAAGAGATTTATCAAATTTCATGGCCAAATAGAGATATGTAGAGCATAAATCTTCAAAATTTATGGTCAATTGCTAGCTTAGAATGAAATTTGTACTCCTTTTATCACGAGTTCAAATCCTTGCTAGTGAATCAAATCTAATTTAATTATGGACAAATTTTTAGTAGTTTAGTTATAGTTAGCTCCTGTTTGGCTGTAGATTTTGAAGTTGAAATTTGAGTTTTTGAAGTTTTGTTCGGACATGCAAAGTTTCGTGAGTTGGAAGTGGAGTATCTCCCAATAACTGAAAATATTTGAAGAACAGGTTTATTTCATTTCATGGCAAAATAGATATTTTGAGAATAAATCTTCAGTTTCTGATTTAATATCTATGGTCAAATAGTAGTTTACGGTGAAATTTGTGTTCTTTTTATAGTCTCTTATCACGATTTCATATCCCGGCCAGTGAATCAAATCTAATATGGTTATGACTTGATTCAAAAATCTACTCGATTTTGTAGCAGTTTAGTTGTAGTCACAGTGAAGTTTGTACTCCAATTTTAGGTCTTTTATCACGAGTTCAAATCCTGTTTAGTGAACCATAGAGGATCAGTTTGATCATACGTGCTAAGTTGAAGCTTGAAATAGTGGATTTAGTTTTATTTGAGAGAAATGAAAGTTTAGAGCTTTCTGTTGTAAGTGAAGATTCGCCCTGAGAAGACAAAATTACTTCATAATTATGAAGGATAGAGATAGCTGGGATTATTCATCAATTTTAAAGCTTGAAATAGCGGATTTCTCCTCTTTTCTCTCGAAAAGAACTCTCATTTCTTGGTTGGAGAGAATGAGAATGAAGGTTCGCGGTGTTTCATGTGTATTATAGAGCCTTTGATTTAGGAGTGGAATTTTATGATTTTAATCTACACGCCACGCGCTTGCACTCTAACCACTAAGAAAGCTAAGTAATACTTTTCGCTCACAATGAACAACTAATGTGTAATATTTTGTTACCAATTCTGCTTTTAAAAATCTAATACATGCATTAGATTATGTGTAGGCTGAAGGATCTCAATCAGAAGTGTACAAAAGAGATGGATGCTTATGCTGGATGCATGTACTACAACACAAATGAATTCAATATGTGTCGAAAAGAACAAAAGGAATTCGAAGAGGCATGTCCTTGTTGATTGGTCCCCACAAAGGTAAAGATAAGGTCTGCTTACATCCTACCTACCCACACCCCACTTGTGGGGTTATAGTGGGTATGTTATTGTCGTATGTCCTTATTGTTTGGTATCGCAGATTATGGTTCTCAACTATTCCTCTTTTCTTTCTTTTTTTTTTATTTCCTTTTTGTAAAATGCTACTCCTAGCTTGTAACTAACTGGCTACTTAGTATCAAATACTATAACTCCACAAAGACACCTCCACGTCGCTTTCTACATCATCCCAACTGAAACAACTACCTAAACGCGGAGTTGGTGAAAACAAAAGCCCCTTTGCCATCTTTTCTTGCCATCCTTCCATCTCCAACATGTCGTTATCTTCTCCCCAGTTACAACATAAAATGTTCTCCATATCTATACACAATTCCTTTGCGCCAAAATCACTACTACTCCCATCATTAGCCCTCGCAATATCTATCTCTTGATACTTTATTTCATCGATGGTATTGGAATTAACTTCCTCATTCATATAGTCAACTCCGACTAATTCAGTATCCTGAGAAAAAGCTTGTGCAGCCATAACTGCTGCCTGTCGTATGTCCTTGGGGTCCTTTGATGCCGGCACTGGCAATCCCCATCGAGAGTCAGCAAAGTTCAGAGTGGCTAGATTGCCTCTAAGAGCTAATGCAGCAACATCATGAGCTCGAGCCGCCATTTCAGGAGTAGAGTAAGTCCCTAGCCATATTCTTTTCTGTTGACTAGGCTCACGTAGCTCACAAACCCACTTGTTATTATTCCTCCTCCTCACTCCCCTATAAACCGGGTGGCGAGTTTCCTTGAACTTCTTCCTCCCTGCACGTTTCTTGGGTTGGCTCGATGCTAATAATAGTATTCCTTCCTCATTGGAAGGTGTTGTTGCACTTAATGGGTTGATATCTGATGAGTACAAACTCGAGTCGTTATTCATTTTAGACACGTGTCAGTCTATAACAAGCTACTGATTTTCTTAGAGTTTGAAGTGTGTTGTGATATTGGCTAGAAGTAAGTTTGTTTAGAATATTGGTTAAGTTTGACAGTGGTTTATATAGATTTTGGATACACTTTTGGATTATGAATTATAAAAGAAAGTGAAAGCACGTGCCTACGACATAGACACGCAAAATTATTTTTCTTAAAAGAAAGTAACAACTTTTCTTTTTCTTCGTGGGGTCAATTGCTAGATACAACTCAAGAGTTTGTTATCTTAATATAATTTTTAAATATTTTAACTTATTAATTATTATAATTTATAATAATCTTTTGATGTAATTTTTCAACTTCTTCTGTCTCAAATGATGTGGCACATGTGAAATATTGAGCGTTAATTAAGGTTTTAGTATAATTTTTTAAAAAGTATTAAGTTATTAATTGTTGATACTTAATATTTTAAAAGAGAAGGTAAGACAAATAAATTTAAACGAAAAAATATTAATTATAAACAGAAAAAGTGGAAAAGAAAATAGAAGGATAAAAATTGATTGATTCATCGACTGACCCGAAGCTACTCACATTCTCTTTTTACATATATAAAAGAATTTACCTATTTCAGAAAGTTAAAAAATATTTCAAATTTTGTTATCTTAAATTTTATTGTCTCAACTATGTCACCTTAAAAGTTGGAATTAAATAGCTACTAAAAGGGGAAGGTGGCGTTTTTGTTCTTTCAGATGAATTTTTTTTAAAAAAAAGTAAGACGCACAAATTGACAGATACAGATGAAGTATTACATGCTTAGTATTATAACAAACAACAAAAATCTAGTGTAATTGTAAAAGTAAAATCTCAATATCTATATATATATATGTATATTTTCAATTGATCATTCATAATTCAACTCTTTTATCTAAGTTTGAAATTGATAATGTGAACAAGTTTACAAAATTAAGTTACATTATTTTATTTAGGAAAAATGTACTAGTAGCCCTTCAATCTATGCTCGAAATCTCAGAGACATATTTATACTATACTAGGTTTTATTACCCTCCTGAACTTATTTTATAATTAATTTTCTATCCTTTTTTGGCTTACGTGGCACTAGCTTGAAAAAAAAATCAATCAATATTGACCCCACAAGATAGTATCAAGTAGGCCGAAAAGAGTTAGAAAATTATTAATAAAATATGTTAAAAAATAATAGGACCTTAATATAGTATAAATATATCTCTGACATTTTGTAATAAATTAAAAAAATATTTGTGTATCATCCTTTAAATAGAAAAACTGAAGAAGAATATACTAGTAGTTTTATTGGTTGAAGACTTGAAGTAGTGAGTTGGCAAAGTTTTGGAGATAGATTTAAAAATGGGGTTCTTGTATTTTTCCATAAAAATTGTGGGGTATGGGAGTTGGGTGTGGGGTGGGTGGAACTTCCCTTTCCAATTTTGGGTCAATGGGACATAAACACTGTGTTCACAGGAAAAAGAACACACGGGTGCCACACATTCGGTGAGAATTGATGACACTCGTCTTATTTTATTAAAACAAGTTTATTTAAATTTAAATATAACGATAATATGTGAAAGTTAATAAGGATGAAAATTTAACACGAATACTAAAGATGAATACAATGTCAATTTATTTTAACTCTTGAAATTTGATTATCACGTGTACAAATTTTTAATTGGTTACAATTGATTCAAAAGAAAAACTACTAGTCTTAAATGATATTATTTCCAAAATTGAACAAGATCACAAATAAGTGTAAGAAGATTTGCTGAGATGACAAACAACTATCTCACAAATCTCCCACATGAAATCTAAGAAAAGAGGAGAATAGAAAGTATCACGAAGATCTGGACTTGTAATCGACAAAAAATTAGAAGCAAGGGGTGCGTACCAAACCACATGATACTTTGCAAGTAAACTTCTAAACACAAGCTAAGGGAATAGAATACGGGTACTACTTACATCCAACCGAACCTCCACAACTAACCTGTATAAGAATCTTGCCTAACCTAACAGTTATTATTACATATATCACATCTCAACAACAACACTCTAACAATTTTATATCCTCAACAACAAGCTCAATATTCATCAATCACAAGTTCCACATAAAGGAACTCACAAGATCAAAACACACAATATCAAATTCACCAATGATAAAGATATGCAATGCAATGTCAAGTATCGTAATGCATGTCTGATCAAATGATCTACATCCGTTGTCTCTTAGTTCGGGACCCATGGGGACATATTTGTTCATGCATTCGTCGCGGTGTGTGATACAAAACTCGATAATAAATTCGTTGCGACATGTCCCTCAATAATAGTATCAGTCACGGCGTGCGATACGTCCCTCCAATTACAATATCTGTCGCGGCATGCAACACGTCCTTCAAAAAAATAGTGCATCCTCTTTAATTTCCTATTTTCCCTCAATTCACGTAACATCTATCATAATCATGTCTCAAAAATATTGCAGGTGACACGTCCACAAATAATGAAGAGATGGTCATTTTCATAACAATGCACAATTCACAACGATACAATCGTGATACAACATCTACAATTAATCAATAACCTTTCAAGCTACCCTCAACACATCACACAGGAAAATACATGATTCTATGCACTTAAGGGTCTAGAGATCTGCTCAAATAATTGAGCAATCACTTCGGGACTTGAGTCTTCGTCTTTCATAAAATTTCAAAGTGCTTCCAATCTATCAAATATATGAACCTCATAAGAATAAAAATCTAATGACACTCATATTACTATATTTAGTTTCAGCTCGAAAATCAAATAAGGTCATCCCGAGTCATCAAATTCGAGGCTGAAATTTTCTTTTAGACCATGTTTACCCATGATAAATTAAACTCGCATGCTAAAAGTTCAGCCAAAACAGATTGTTATACGACCCCCAAATGAAAATTTTGTTGTAAGAACCCTAGACCTATATTTTCTTAATTTAGCATTAATTAGATGCATTTTTAACTTAAAAATATGTTTATACCTACATAAAATTTAATGGAAAAGACGAGAATCATTACCTTAACGCCTTTGAGATGAAAATCTCAATTTTTCTCCTCTCTTTCCCTTTTTTGGTCTCATTTTTCTATAGTGTAATTTTTTTTGTTTGTTCACTTCTTAATTTAACATAAATTATACTCGTTTTTAACCTAAAAATCTGTTCATAACCACATAAAAATTTAATGGAAAAGATCAGAAACATTACCTTAACGCCTAATTGGGATGAAAATCTCGGTTTTTCTCCTCCCTTTTCCCCTCTTTTTTTTTTTGACTTTATTTATCTATTATTGAACTTTTATTTATTTTTCTTTTCCATTATTATAAGTAATAAAAAAATTTTATTAGATCTCATAAAAATCATGTTACTCATTTTTATAAGTTATAAATTATTTATAAACGCTACTAAAAAGGTTAATATAAAAATAATTATTGAAATTCATAAAACGACTAAGAGGGTCATTACATTTCAAGTAACAAATGACTTTTAATCGTGTATAAGTTTATAAATATTTCATAGGTTATATCTCAATGTAATTTCAAGTTTTGGAGAATTTATGTTCCATTAAGCATGTGTTTTACTGTTAAAGATTAATTAATTATTATAATTAATTTTGTATAAACACCATGTGAGAGTAAATATTTATCTACATATGGCCATTTATTAGAGACCGGAGTCTAAATGGTACAAAATATTAATAAAAATTTCAAGACGATATATAAAATTTTATATTAACCAAAGCGGCAAAATCGCTGGAACAACAGCGATTTACTCCACCGGAAAAAGCAAAATAGCTGCAGTTGCAGCAATTTTGCAAAATGTGTTTTTTAAAAAAAACCAAAATTGCAATCGTTACTTAGGCAGCGATTTTTTTTAAAAAAAGTTTTTAAAAAAATTTAAATCGTTATTATTTAGAAAATGACATATGTCTATTAATTAGTGGAGCTTTAGTCAGACTAGCTAGCTTGATAGAGCTATCTATCCTAAGACAAACGTGAAACAGGAGAGAATCAACACAACTTTTTCACAAAATCTAAAATTAAAAATTTTTTATATCGCTGTCTAGACAGTGATTTTATTTTTTAAAAAAATATTTTAAATTATAAAAATTGCTGCCTAAGTAGTGATTTTAATTTTTTTAAAAAAAATTGTATTTTGCAAAATCGCTACAGTGGCAGCGATTTTGCTTTTTTCGGTGGAGTAAATCGCTGTTGTTTCAGCGATTTTGCCTTTTTGACATATAAAATTTTATATACCATTTTGAAATTTTTATTAATATTTTGTACCCTTTAAACTCCGAACTCCCATTTACTATTGATCAACTCAAAAATACCGATGAATTTTATTGCTTATTTTCTTGTAATGGTATTTTCTTAGTAATTTTCTTTGCAACATGAGAAATGGAAGAACAAGAAAAAAGAAGATGACATATGCAATACCTACGTAAGGCATCTTTATGTCATGAATTTATATATTATAAGCATCACTTTTTTATAAGCTTTTAATAGTTGACTCATCTCTACCACGAGTTTTACTGTTACAAATATAAATATATAATAATTAGAACAAAATGGTTTTTGTTAGTATTACCTTTTGCAAGGGAAACTTTGTTTTTAGACACTTTTATTGATCGTATTATTTATTTCATTTTCTATTTCTTATCAAATACTAATATGTATTTGTAATTTGTAACTATGTAGCTAGTTAGTATCAAATACTATAACTCCACAAAGACACCTCAAGGTCACTTTCTACGTCATCCCAACTGAAACAACTACCTTCCGGCTCGTTTCTTGGGCCGGCTCGATGCTAATAATAGTATTTCTTTTTCATTAGAAGATGTTATCGTATTTAATGAATTGACATCTGAATAGTATAAACTCGAATTGTTATTCATTATAGACACGTGTTAGTCTATAACAATATATTTATTTTCTTAGCTTATAGAATTTGTGATAATTTGAAAGTGTTTTTTTATAGAATTTGAATAGATTACAAATTAAGAAAGAAAAATAAAAACACGTGTCTACGATATATACACGAACACGTATGGAAAATCAATTTGAAATGGGGATTGGAAGTACAACTTTTCTTTTTCTTAGTGGGGTATGCTTCTATGTATAA